CGGCCCTTCCCAAGAGAGCAGACCTGTTTTGTATTGGGGAAGAGTTGGGGCCCACAGAGACTTTGGGGCCCAACAGAATCGTTACTCGGGACACAAAAACCTTTAAACTTGGGGGCCCCGAATCGTTAAAATCAGGGACACCGAATCTTTAAATCGGGGGCACGAATCGTTACTCGGGGGACACAAAATTGTTTACTCAGGGGAACAAAATTTGTTATTTCAGGGAACACAATGGGTTACTAAAGGGGGACACACAATCGTTACTCGGGGGACACACAACCCTTTTTAATCGGGGAACCCCAAAACCCGTTACTAAGGGACACAAAAGGGTTACTCGGGGACACAGAATCGTTACCCCAGGGAACAGAATCGTTACTGGGGACAGACAAGAATTTTTTTAACTCAGGGACCAGAATTGTTATTTGGGGCAAAAAGGAACGTTATCGGGGGAAACAAAAATTGTTACTCGGGGGGACACTTATCTTTTCTCAGGGACACGGGAATTGTTACTCGGGGGACACAAAATTTTGTTATCAGGGACACAGAATCTTTAAACTCAGGGACACAGAATTTTTTACTCAGGGACACAGAATGTTAAATTTAAAAGGGAGTTTGTCGGGCCCAACCCCCAGGGGGTTTTGGGAGAGGAGGCAATTTTTTCAGGAGGACCCAGACGTGGAGCAGAGGAAGGGGTGAGGGCCAAAAGCTCGCAGCCAGAGGCCAGTGCTCCCGGTGTCTCCAAAGGGGGGTTTTAGTGTTCCACCGACAAACCCTCCCCGTCACCCGATTGGTTGGTCGGTCGTTTTTCCCTTTTCCCCAGGTCACCTCTGACACCTAACCCAAAACGGTCGGTGGGTACGTCAGAAAAAACCCGTTATTTTGGCATGGCCGGGGAAAAACCCCCAGGGAAAATCAGTGTCCTCTCCCTGCCCTGTTTTTGGGTGTTCCCTCACAAGCAAATTTATGCTTTGCTTTTGGGGCTCACCCCACTGTAAGTGAGGAAGAGCTAAAGGGGGCGGTTTTCAGGAAGGGGGGGGACTTCCCTCTTCAGAGCCAGGCGTGAAGAAATGGCGAGGAGAGGGGCTCGGTAGCCGGTTAGGGACGGGTCTGTCTCCTGACCACACGCAGCCGAGGGGGGGTTGTGGAGGCGGGGGCCCCAAAATTGTTGATGTTGAGGCTGATCGCACTTGGCAGCCTCGTCTATCAGGTATTGTTCCGCTCATCAGGAAAAAAGGGGGGGCCAGCTTGGAAAGCGAGCAAAAAATTTCGGTGGGTTCCCCAAGGAGGCACCCCGGGGTCGCGCAGTGTCAGTGGGGGAAAAGGGCCCAGGGAAAGTAGACCCACCAACTCCAATGCAGCCTTTCCCACCCCCGGCCCCCTTGTAGGGGTTTCCCGGGGTTGTGCAGCGGAGGATGTTGCTGTCAGCCAGTGTGGACGTAGCGGGGGCAAAGTTTCCTACTCCGGCGGTGTGGCAAATTTTTCCTCAAGCCGCCGAGGAAGTTAAACGTAGCCGTATGTCGAATATTGTGGCCAGGAAAAGTCAAGCGTGGCCAGGGGGCCCATGTTGGGAACTACAGCGTTGCTTCAGATATGCAGCGTCGCCATTCGGTGGCCTGGGAAAAACCGTGATAAAAAATACGGCGGTTCTGCCTGCCCCAGCCCACGCTCCATCACCCGCTCCGTTTTCTTGCTCGTCACCCGACGTCAAATGCCCATCTATCAGCCAGTCAAGGCTCCAAACACACTCTGTTGCAGGGGAGTTGCATCGCTCGGTTGGATTTCATCCCGCTCGTTTCAGATGCTCCTTCTCTCTTACTGCAACTCATCTTCACGGATTCCGTCCAGCAGTCTTGATCTTGGAGAATCAGTTTTCAAGAGAACAACAGTTTTGCTGAGTTACGGGCACCCGACGGTGCAGAAGCTGAACGTCCTCCTGTCCGGAGAGTGCCAAGCCGGCATTTCTTCGCCCAAAAAGGCAGTGCCAGCCCTGCATTCACATGTAGAAGAGAATGGTGGGCCCAGTCTTTGAGCATGTCGGTCTCTGCCAATGTGCACGGCCAGCGCCGACGTGTGGAGCTGTAACTGATACGGTCAGGGACAGTACATGTCATTTACGGTCCACTGGGTGAATGTGGTGGTGCCGGCACAGCCGCACCAGCAACTTGGACAGGTCACGCCGCTTTTGCCTCCACGTTTGCACGTCCTTGGTCCAGCAAAGATGTCCGCCTCTACCACCTCTTCTTCCGCCGTGTCCTCAGCCTCAGTTAAATTGTCAGGGCTCCCCAGGTATGACCAGAGGTGTGTGACTGAAGCAGGGAAACGCAGACTTCAGATAAGTTATAAACAATGTAATTTATTAACACTAACAACTACAAACATAAACGCAGTGCAATACTAAACATAATACAGTGCAAACAAACCCAAACCAACCACCACAGATAACAGTACATACAAGCAAGCGTCGTCAGGCAGGCCGGGTCAATATCAATTGGGCAGGTAGGTACAGGGGGGAGCAAGCGGAGGAATGGTCGTGGTCACAGGCCAGGTTCAGCAGGTAGCAAGCAGCGTAGTACAGAGGGTCAGGCAGAGGGATGGTCAGGGTCACAAGCCAGGGATCAGAACAGGTAGCAAGCAGCGTAGTACAGAGGGTCAGGCAGAGGGATGGTCAGGGTCACAAGCCAGGATCAGAGCAGGAGAAGTCAGCAGCAGTTCAGATCAGGCAGGGTCAGCAAAGGACCAGAAACAGAATGCAGGACAGATACAGGGCCCAGGACAAACACAACACCAAGGCAGAGTCTGTGGGTCTGGCCATCCCTTAAATACCCCAGCATAATCAGTTCCAGGTGTTAGCTAGCTGCAAAGTTGAGGTCTCTGATTGCTGGGAGCATCCGCTGGCCAGCCCTGGTACTGCAGATCAACAGGCAGGTGAGTCCCACCATTGCTGGCCAGTCCATTCCTGACATAAATGCTGTTAACAATGGCTGGTCAGATTGCGGTAGACGTGGCGCACAGATCTCAATGCCACATGACCCTGTGGGGGGCAGGACAGGAAGAAGAGGAGGAGGTAGAGGAGGACATTGGTGCTCAGGAATTATTGAGTGAAATGGGTGGTTTTTCCACTCAGCGGACAGGAGTGGAGGAGCAGGAGCATCTGGGTAGAGAGGAGGAGGAGGAGACAGAGGACCCCAGACGCACCGTGGCAGTATGCTGTGGAGATGGAGGCAGGGAGTCCCTCGCATTCCTTGGCACAAATGGCCCATAGCATGCTCGGTTGCTTGCGTAGCGACAGCCGAATAATAACCATCAGACAGAGGGATGACTTTTGGCTGTCCACCTTGTTGGACCCTCGCTACCGTTCAAAAAATGGTGGCCTTTTTCACACCTGCTGAGAGGGAGGCCAAAATAAAGTACTATAAAAACCACCTATGTAGTCAGTTGGTCTCTGCCTTTCTGCGCCAACGTCCATCCTCAGACACTGTGGGCCCTGTGCGCTCGCGTTCCGCTGCCATGGCAGCAGGGGAGGGGTGGGGTGGTAGGAGCAGTGGCAGCTCCACCAGCAGCGGCTGCCTCAGTCTGCAGTCGATGATGAGTAGCTTTCTTCACCAGCGCAGTGAGGAAACTACTAACCAGCCGCAGCAGCAGCAGCATCAGGTGGACCTGGAGCAGGACCTCAAACAACAGGCTTGGGCCTACTTGGACAGCACCCTGCCAACCGAGGTAGACAATCCCTTGACTACTGGGCAACGAAACTTGACCTTTGGCCCCAACTAGCTGAATTTGCCCTTGAAAGGCTGTCATGCCCGGCCAGTAGCGTGGCATCGGAGCGCGTGTTTAGTGCGGCAGGAGGTATTGTAACTCCGCGGAGGACACGACTGTCCACCCAAAGTGTGGAGAGACTCACGTTTGTGAAAATGAATCAGGCGTGGATTAGTCTGGATTTCAAACCACCAGTTCCTGACACAACTGACTAAATCCGCCATGAATCATGCCCCAAACATGTTATTATTTTTAACATAGGCCTCTGTATGGCCTTCAATTTAAGCTGCTTACGCTTCGCCACTCTGCCATGGGCCCCTGTACCGCTTCCTCTTGCTGCTGCCAGGTCCAGAGTGTGTCATGGGTCCCTGTACGGCCTCCCATTGCTGCTGACTTCATCGCCAGACTCTGCCATGTGCCACTTTCAGGTCTCCTTACACTGTTGGTGGGTTCCATTTTGTGATAGGGTGCTGTATGGCCTTCCATTGCTGCTGCCTCCACCGCCACCCTGCGCCATGTGCCTCTGTCATCTGCTCACGCTGCTGACGGCTTCCGCTTTTTAACCGAGGCCTGTGTTTGGCTTCCGAATACTGCTGCATCCACCGCCACCCTGCGCCATGTGTCTCTGTCGTCTGCTCAAGCTGCTGACGGGTGACGGCTTCCGCTTTTAACCTAGGCCTGTGTATGGCTTCAGAATAATGCTGCCTACACCGCCACCCTGCGCCATGTGCCTCTGTCGTCTGCTCACGCTGCTGCCAGGTCCATACTGATTCATGGCCCCCTGCACCGGCTCCTCATGAACGTGGTTCAGCGGGTTTGCATCACTTAACGGCAAATCGTTGACAAACGCTGGGACGTTCAGTGTTGTGCGCATTAAGCCAGACACCAAAGGGCAGCACAGACCTGTTATTACTCGCTCAAGCATGGCTGAACAAAACCAGTCTCTACCACAAATTGGACCCAGACCTGCCCAGGGTCTCGTAAGTAGATTGCACGGAGGAGTAGAGTTCGTTATTGGAATTAACTGTGAGGGACTTTTTAACCTAGGCCTGTGTATGGCCTTCTATTGAAGCTGCTTCTGCTCCGCCACTCTGCCATTGGACTCTTGATAGTCGTCTCCCCACGCTGCTGCTGGGGGGACTTTTTAACATAGGCCTCTGTATGACCTTCAATTGAAGCTGCTTCTGCTCCGCCACTCTGCCATTGGACTCTTGATAGACGACGACTATCAAGAGTCCAATGGCAGAGTGGGCGGAGCAGAAGCAGCTTCAATTGAAGGCCATACACAGGCCTAGGTTTAAAAGTCCCTCACAGTTAATTCCAATAACGAACTCTACTCCTCCGTGCAATCTACTTACGAGACCCTGGGCAGGTCTGGGTCCAATTTGTGGTAGAGACTGGTTTTGTTCAGCCATGCTTGAGCGAGTAATAACAGGTCTGTGCTGCCCTTTGGTGTCTGGCTTAATGCGCACAACACTGAACGTCCCAGCGTTTGTCAACGATTTGCCGTTAAGTGATGCAAACCCGCTGAACCACAATCATGAGGAGCCGGTACAGGGGGCCATGAATCAGTATGGACCTGGCAGCAGCGTGTGAGCAGACGACAGAGGCACATGGCGCAGGGTGGCGGTGGAGGCAGCAGTATTCGGAAGCCATACGCAGGCCTAGGTTAAAAAGCGGAAGCCGTCAGCAGTGTGAGCAGACGACAGAGGCACATGGCGCAGGGTGGCGGTGGATGCAGCAGTATTCGGAAGCCAAACACAGGCCTCGGTTAAAAAGCGGAAGCCGTCAGCAGCGTGAGCAGACGACAGAGGCACATGGCGCAGGGTGGCGGTGGAGGCAGCAGCAATGGAAGGCCATACAGCACCCTAGCACAAAATGGAACCCACCAACAGTGTAAGGAGACCTGAAAGTGGCACATGGCAGAGTCTGGCGATGAAGTCAGCAGCAATGGGGCCGTACAGGGACCCATGACACACTCTGGACCTGGCAGCAGCAAGAGGAGGCGGTACAGGGTAATGCCCATGGCAGAGTGGCGAAGCGTAAGCAGCTTAAATTGAAGGCCATACAGAGGCCTATGTTAAAAAGTCCCCCCAGCAGCAGCGTGGGGAGACGACTATTAGCCTCCTCATGCTGCTGCCAGGTCCAGAGTGTGTCATGGGTCCCTGTACGGCCTCCCATTGCTGCTGTCTCCATCGCCACACTCTGCCATGTGCCACTTTCAGGTCTCCTCACACTGCTGGTGGGTTCCATTTTGTCATAGGGTGCTGTATGGCCTCCCATTGCTGCTGCCAGGCCCGTAATCTGCCATGGGCCCCCGTACCGACTCCTCATGCTGCTGCCAGGCCCGTAATCTGTCATGGGCCCCTGTACCGCCTCCTCATGCTGCTGCCAGGTCCAGAGTGTGTCATGGGTCCCTGTACGGCCTCCCATTGCTGCTGTCTCCATCACCACACTCTGCCATGTGCCACTTTCAGGTCTCCTCACACTGCTGGTGGGTTCCATTTTGTCATAGGGTGCTGTATGGCCTCCCATTGCTGCTGCCAGGCCCGTAATCTGCCATGGGCCCCCGTACCGACTCCTCATGCTGCTGCCAGGCCCGTAATCTGTCATGGGCCCCTGTACCGCCTCCTCATGCTGCTGCCAGGTCCAGAGTGTGTCATGGGTCCCTGTACGGCCTCCCATTGCTGCTGTCTCCATCGCCACACTCTGCCATGTGCCACTTTCAGGTCTCCTCAAACTGCTGGTGGGTTCCATTTTGTCATAGGGTGCTGTATGGCCTCCCATTGCTGCTGCCAGGCCCGTAATCTGCCATGGGCCCCCGTACCGACTCCTCATGCTGCTGCCAGGCCCGTCATCTGTCATGGGCCCCTGTACCGCCTCCTCATGCTGCTGCCAGGTCCAGAGTGTGTCATGGGTCCCTGTACGGCCTCCCATTGCTGCTGTCTCCATCGCCACACTCTGCCATGTGCCACTTTCAGGTCTCCTCACACTGCTGGTGGGTTTCCATTTTGTCATAGGGTGCTGTATGGCCTCCCATTGCTGCTGCCTCCACCGCCACACTGTGGCTCCACACTCTGGTTTTGGCCCCGTGACTGCCCAAATGAGTGAAGTGTGCGGTGATTCTAAGATCGACGGCACTCATCTGCATGTCATACTGACTGACAGTATTATTTCTCTTCCCCAGCAGACTCCAAGGGCATTTAAATTAAAGGTACAGTGTTCTGCACTAATATAAAGGCTCTCTGAAGCCTAGAAACACCCTTTTTATAAGTTAAATTTGCAGCGAATATATTCGACTCGAATCGAATTTATTCCGCGAATTCGGCGAATCAGCCGAATCAAATTTTTGAATACTTCGCTCATCTCTAATAATCACTATAGCGGCAGCCTGGAAAAGTCTGGTGATTGACCTGGCCTTGATGAAGTGTAAGCTAACCTGGATCATACTGAATGAAAAGATTGAGTGCCTTCTGGGATAAACAAGCCTTATTTGATAAGGTCTGGAACCTCTGTCTATCTTATCTACAAGTACCAGACACCTAGGGGTGGCTCCCAGCTGTGAAGGCGATTTTCTTCCTCTTTTCACATTCCTCTTCTTTTTTCATTCCTACTTTCCACATTTTTTTCCTCCTTGTAATGCAGGTTGGTCATTGTTGTCAGGACACCTACCCTGACTCATGTTTATCCACTTGTTCACCACAAGTGATACCTTTTTGTATAGAGAGAGATGTGGTCTAATGACCCTGCAGGACTGCTGACCAAGATGGATACCCTTCATGCATAGGATTTAGCGTCCTCTTTAGTGGAGATTAGACTAGAATGTTTTTTATCTTACCCCGCTCTTTCACCTACAGTATGTGGATCATGTTTAAGGCCTTGTTGTCAACATCCCAGCGACTGGTGTTGCTATCTGCAACCTTTACGCTCAATGTTCTGTAATGCATATCTACATTCTATTTTGTATCGCCTGTTTCTTATTTTCAACCTAAATAAAATGATTGAAACAACAAGTGTAACAAATCCACACCTCACATCTGACTCACTGCTCGAGAAGTGAGGGGTACCATCTTTGTTGCCTGTGGCCTCCAAGTGAATAAAGGATGAGAGGATGGATGGACCAGCCGGGAGGAAAAAATGCCAATGGTGAATAGTGTGTATTCCAAACCAGGAAGAGTTGTCAACAGACTGGAAATGACATTACAGGAAAACTGTGTCACAGGAAGGAACATCAAATCAGAATCCAGGAAGTTGGGCATCGTGCTGGAAGGAGGTCTCTGCAGCAACGTTTGGAGGCTTTGATTCAGTTAACCCCTGTAGCCTATCAGTCATGTGAGATACATTGTATACAATTGTGATTGATTATTACAAACAGAGATCATTAAAGCAGAGCTCCAGTCAAACTGTAAAAAAAAAAATAAGCAGCTACAAAAACTGTATCTGCTGAAAAAACAGCCGCTCACCAGTCCCTTGATCCTGTGGTGTCCTCCTTGTAGCCCATCTCACCGGCTGTCCTGTGTTTCCCAGCGCCAGTATCTTCAGTGTGGGCACCTGTCTGTGACACCTTGCAGCTTCACAGCCAGGTGACCACTGCGCATGCATGCGTGATGCTGTTCTTTCTGAATGGTCCTGTAGTCTTCTGGGACCTATCACGTGTCCTAGAAGACTACAGATACCCTCTCCCAATTCTGCTGCGATCGGCTAGGTGATCAGAAGCGGAAGATAGGAGGACAACTTCCGCTTCTGATCACCTAGCCGATCGCAGCAGAATTGGGAGAGGGTATCTGTTAATTTCAGGTACCCGCTCCCCAAAGGAGCAAACCCTTAATGGGGAGCAGAGGACCAGTCTTTAAAGCGGAACTTCTCCTTTTGGGTGGAGCTCTGCTTTAAGCCTGGGATAAATGTTATCATGATGGGGACAGAAAATATGATGGTAACATGAGATAAAAGCAGAAAATTATTATAAACCATATGCTCAGAACTAAAAACACCACTTTGCGATACATCAATAAATAGACTCCACGCATGTATACAGTGAAAGCCCCATTAGAATACATATTGAAAAAAGAGAGAAAAACATCCGATCTATAAAGAGAGACAATTACAACACAATTAAAAATGTAAATATAAAAAAAAGTACAAAAAATTAAAATAATGAAAATGAACACATAAATACATATAAATATGAAAACAAAGAGTGCGCATGCGCGGCCGCCGGGATCGGAATGTCCCGGCACTAGCTCCGCACATCTCCGGCACTGACAGCAGCCCATAAAAGGGCATAGTGCCGCTTCACCCCCGGGGCCCCCCCGCCTTTCTCCGGATCTCGGGCACCTGTTAATATGCCCGGAAAGACGGCGGTGAAGAGCCGTGGAGGCTCCCAGCTGCGGCTCCCTGCGGGGACTGGGGGATCCAAGATGGCGGCCGGATCGGCGCCCGCGGCTCCTGGTGCCTCTCTGCCTCTATTGCAGCAGCACCTCTCTCTCGGAGGGAGAAGATGGGCTCCTCGTCCCACGCTGGTCCAGGGAGGACTGCAGCAGCATTAGCATCAGCTGGGGTGAGTGACTCCCTGCAGCCCCCCCTTTCACCCTCCAGCCCTGTGCCACTAGAGTCCCAAGCTTCGGCCTGTTCATTGAGCCATGACTCCCCTGCATCCTCGCCCTTGAGCAGCGAAATAGCTGCCATTTTTTCAAGCCAGCATAGCGGTCCTGAGCCCGCGGGATAATTAGCCCGGCTTCCTTGCCAACGATTCCTCCTGACCCACCTCTATACTCTGGTGATGTGACTTTGATAGTTCGGTTCACAGATTTGCTGCAACGCGAATTAGACAGAGCTACCTTAAAACTGGCGGCTGATCTTAAGCAGGATTTTCAGGCCTTGGGCCACCGTCTAGACAGTATTGAGGCTAAAGTTGATGCGACAGTCCAAAGTATCTCCCAAAAATTCTAACATGATCACCGACAAAATCGCCTGGAGGAGGCGTATTCTAAAAAATTGATGACCTGGAGAATCGGGGCCCAGGCGATACAAATTTTCGCATTCGAGGTCTTCCTGAGTCGGTTAAGGAGCTTACTAGCTGCGCACACACACTCTCATTCGCGGTCTGCTATTGCCTGCTATTGATGACCTTCACCTTGAGATTGATCGCATTCACCGGGCACTGATCCCCCCGGCAAGGGGGGCCCCTCCTAGAGATATCATCGTCAAGCCTCATTTTTTTTCCAGGTTAAGGAAGCGGTTATGCGGTATGGCAGGGAGAATCTGGATATAGAGCTTGCAGGGCACAAGGTACAAATCTTTGCTGATGTCTCATTGGCCACTATCCAGAGGCGGCGATCCCCTCAAGCCACTTCTCTCTCACTTGGTTCAAAAGGGCATTAAATATCGTTGGGCCTACCCTTTTCGTCTACAGTTCACTCTTAATGGGAAAGTCCTATGGGTTTGCTACAATTCCAGGATGGCGAGGAGTTGCTGCTTCAGCTGGGTATTATATCTCGCAGTCCGACGTCCCATTCTCCTACAGGATCGGCTCCTCGACCTCCGCTGCTCCAGCCATTGTGGACTACTCCATCATCTAAGAAGAAGGGGTCCAGGAATCCACCTGGGAGGATTTCTTTGAACTTTTGTGTTCTTTTGGGGACTTTTCGCTCAATTTTTTCCCGCGGGGATGTTTCGTTGATGGCAGCCTCTCTGTGGCTCTTAAGAGCGTTGGCCGCTGTTGCTGTGTTGGTGTGGGGGGATGGGCTAGGGGTGGGGACTTGGGTGCTAATTGCATCTGTTTGCTGAATACCATTTCAGGTGGTTTTAATTGTTTTGTTTTTATGTTCAATGCGCTGTGCGTTTGATTATTGTTGATCTGGGTTATAATTGCCATGTCGGGTGCCGGAGAGTGTCTTTGCGCTCTCCCTGATTGGAAGACTCTTCCCTGGGATTGTTTCAACTGGGCAGATCTATTCCACCACAGGGCTATTGCTCTGTATTTCCTGTACATTGTGTTCATTCATTTACTAGTACTGTTTTTTGTACCACGGTCACTTTGTCATTTGGACTTTATGTGTTCCGAATGTTTCTCTTTTTCTTTTTTCTTTTTTTTTCCGATTTTTTATTTTCCTCTTTGTTTTTTTTTCTGATTTTTTTTTGGGGGTCAGCTGGCGACATTTAAGTGACTTCTAGGGATCTTCATACTCTTAAGGAACGAGGGGTCCCTTTATTATGCTTAGAGTTCCCACCATTAATCCATAACAACCACCATAATTATTTATCATGTCTTCCTTACGGTCATACTAGCGAAGAAAATATTCGCTATCCTTTCTCAACAATGTTCAAGTTTAGGCTCATTTTCTGTCCTCCATCCCAAACGCATACAGGCCCTTTAGCTCATACCACTCCCCTTTGGGGGC